CGCTTTTTTCTAGTTTAGTATTAGAAATATGGTCTTTCACTGTATATTAACTCAGGAAAAAGGCGATCATTATTACATCCAAACACGGCACAAGGATCTTTTCAGGGGCACCCAACGCCAGTATTTCGGAAAATATCTGTTCAGAAGACGATTTGAGATTTTCAGAACATTTGTTGTAAAATTTCTTGCTTGCCTGCCTCTCCTAGGATTTTCAAACATCTATAAAATGGTATAATTGCCCATTTTTAACGGATTTTTACCCTAAAAAGGTCACCTAGAATTTTCGGGAGCCTTTTTTCTGGCTGAAATTTTCGAAAAGGTAAGTTTTGATCCCTATAATTTTTGGATCATTAGACTTTCAGCTAGGAAATCCAAACAGATGAAAAATTTTTAGGGGATAAGAATATGCTAATAACTACAGTTGAAATACTAAAATACGTTTAACAATGCTTTGTTTAAGTTTGAACTATATTCTCGTTCGGTGCCCCCGATTTATAACGAGCTGATTAACAGTATCAGACAGTATGGTGGGTGAAATACACTCACTGTTCAGTGTACGGAGTCTAGTGATTCAAGTCCATTTTAAAAGCGGCTTAACAGCTTCAATTGTATTTTCTTTCTGTCTAGATCAAACATAATGGAACAAGCGGCAGATGGCAAAAGGCCAGGTATAGACAAACGATTTGATTTTTTTGTTGGATGCTGTGATTATTTTTTATATTTGCCAGACTTGAACAAAACATCAGAATATATATATATTTTTGACTACAAATTATAAAAAAATTGGTTAGATTGGGGAGTGATGAACACCATTACAAAATTTCAGATAGGAAAGGTACACCAGTTAATGAATGGACTTCTACCATTTGGAAAAAATAATTAACCTTTCTCCATGAGTCATCAAAAAAATTGACAGTCTATTTTTATTCAACTTAAAAAAACATGAGAGCTGTTGAGATATAGTCAACTTCCACTGTACAATAATATAACCGCATGCCAGAATGTTGCTTGCCCGTTCTCCACCATAGCCCACACTACTTTATTCTAAGTAAGTACCTTCAGAGGGACAAAGAAGAGCACTGCCCATAATAGCATCTGATAAGTCTCAGTTTTGGTCTCCAAAATTAAAGGTGAGGCATAATGATTAGTGCTCTTCAGTCTGCCTGTTATATACTGTGAATCCTCTATTACCCTCCCCCCCCCCTCTCAAATAAGCCCCCTCCCTCTAATAAGCTCCCCCCCCTTTTCAGGGAAAGAAAGTTAATAAGTCCCCCTCCCCTCCCCTAATTATTCTTCACTAATAAATGATAGACTGTATTAATCAATCAAGACTGTAAAACTTCGTGTGGACTGATCCCGGATGGTTTATTTACCAACTGTAAGTTCGATTTTGATCACCCTGATCTCTGGCTGCATGACCTAAAACCTCTTGTACTTGAGCTTTTCCACTTTGTATTCTAGTTCTTCATGGAGAATTGATACCATCATGGTTTCAAAATTAAATAAGCACCTCTCTCAAATAAGTCCCCCCATCAGGTTGAAACAAATAAGCCCCCTCCCCCTAGGGGGGGGGGGGGGTCTAAATAGAGGATTAACGGTGAACCCCAATGAAATACCAGGTGAGCTTTCACGCAAAAACATGATATCTTTACACATGAAAATGACGTGTTATTTTCACATATCACCATTGCTATGGCTACATAATAGATCGTGCCTTTCACAGCTAAAAAAATATTGAAGTGAAATGGTTTGGTATTTCACATGGCCATGCAGTATCCTCTATTTCTTTAATGAACTAGACTAGCTATTGACTGCTATCTATCTATATCTTTTTCAGAACCCATTGATCCCGATGGGGACTGGCTTGATCAAGCCATAGCGCTAGGCAGGGAAGACGATAGGCAGGAAGAATAAAGAAGAAGAAGAAGAAGAAGAAGAGAGAGAGAGAGGGAAGAAGAGTGGATAGGAAATGGAAGGAGAGAACGAGAAGGAGGAAGAAGATATGAAAGCGTGGGCTGTCTGTCCGCAAATGAGGCAAAGGGCAACTGACAGAAGGAGCCAGAGAGATGATGAAAGGGGTAAGAGAGAATAAAATTAATGATGTAGATTATAGACTGTGGTTAATGATGGTTAACTCCATTCTTATAAAATAATGTAAATGCGTTCCATCTATTGTGTCAGAAAAATTATTAATGATCAACAAACTATCAGAAACTATAATAGGACTAATGGTCAGTGTAGCTGATTTCTGTTTCAAATGTGAAAGTCACAGAAACTCTACTATGCATCAAGAGAGAACACTATGCAGGACCATGGAAGTAGTGTCTGGATCTGGAGTTCAGGGTGGACAATCTAGTCAGCATATTTTATATTTCTATCCTAGCATTTAACTACAGCCAGCTGCCGATAATTCAAACTTTCTAGGGTTACAAAAATGTTCATTTCTGTCTAATTTCCATAAATGCCTTTTTTTCCTTACCAAAAACATCTCTTGTTCATTTATCTTTGTTTTTTCTTTTTTTCAGTCAGATGTCACAAGTGCAGGAAGCTTGGGCACAAACATGCCCAGTGCCCTGGAAAAACCGAACCAGGGGAACCTAAGAAAATTATTAATTATTTTTATTTTAATAGAACTCTGGATAATGCAAAATTTCAATAAATTAATGAAATTTTGCATTATCAAGATGGTTACTACTGTATTTCCTTGAGTACTCTGCCCAAAGACTCAAAATCAATGCAAAATGTCAAGATTAATAAACAATCTTGGGTTGAATTAACAGCATAATGTTTTAATAACATGGTGGCAGATAGTCTGGCTGGTAGAGTGTTTCACGGAAATATGGTCATAACCTTTTAGAATAGACCTTTTGATCTTTTATCAAATTATCGTAACAAATTTTTAAAAAATAAATAAATAAACATTCCAAAATTTTGGACTTAAAAAGGTTACACTTTTGATTTCCAGCTGACTGCATGGTATTGACTTTTTCAGTATGATTTATATTAAACTTAGGGTGCTTTCCATTTGTCAGAGCTGACCGGCTAGCCCATTCCCAACGTATCTTAATCAAAACTAACCATCCAGATCAGTCAAATCCTAAATATTATGCACAAAGGAGATGGTTTTTCAGCAAAATCTCATAGAAAGATTTCTCATGGAATCTCATGAAATCTCATTGAAAGCGCCCTTAAATTATATTGTTTCGTTTAGTGCAATGTTGCTAAGAAAGATTCAGCTAAGCTCATTTTTGGGTCAACAATTTGTCAGATTGGTTGACCCAAAAATGAGTTTTTACAAATCTTTCTCAGCAACATAATTGCAAAAAAAGATAAAGATAAAATAAAATTTTGGACTTAAAAAGGTTATACTTTTGATTTCTAGCTGACTGCATGGTATTGACTTTTCAGTATGATTTATATTAAACTTAGGGCACTTTCCCTTTGTCAGTAAAATGAGAATGTCACTTTTAATCAAAACTAACCATCCAGATCAGTCAAATCCTAAATATTATGCACAAAGGAGATGGTTTTTCAGCAAAATCTCAAGCAAGACCTCTAACACCACTTTTCCCATGATGAAACGTATTTTTGTAAATAAAGTGGTCATCATGTCCTTGGAGTTACAACTATTTTAATCGATTTCGCTTTGTTGATGTAACCATAGATTCTGCAGAAATTGTTTTACCTGAGAAACCCTTTTAAAGGATTGGTTGCAAACGTTCATTGTTTTATTCAGAGCCTTGTGCAAAAAGAAGCGTGTCTCAAATTGCTGAAGTTAATAATGCCAATGGGCATCTAGCACCTGCTCGGAAGAGAACTCGCCAATGCCTAATCGTGACGCCAAACAATACTAAAACAATAATTGGAAGAATGACTTGTCATTGTTTCCTGCGACCAATTAGGAGAGACTTAACGAGCAGCTTCTACACTGCCCATGCCAATGCGTTCTTTGTTCATTGTTTAAGTGCATTTATCTCCTCTAGCCATTTTGCAGGCACTGCTTTCAAATCATCACAGGCAAGTACCTACCACGTATACGTTAAAAGAAGTGGACACATGATGGAGCCCTGTGGGAGACGAAACCAAAGTTCAAAGATTTCGAAATACGATCGGAGCCCCAACTCTGGCCCCGCGGACACCCCGATAATATGGACAGCAGCTAAATCCCAGGCAAAAATATATTACAAGACCCAGTTGTTGAAAAGCCGATTAGCGCTAACCCATGGATAAATTTTAACTCAGGTCCCAGTTCTTTAAAGGCCGATTAACGTTAACCCAGACCCGGTTTTCTCTCTCTTTTGTTTAAAAGCATTTTCTTGGATAATTTTCCCTTTACTTTTAGAGCATCCAGTCATCAATTCTGGCATATTTCGCACTAACCCTGGGTTATCTTAACCCCGCTTTGAAATAAACTACGGACTCTCGCTAATGGAGGTCCCTACAGCGTCCGCTATCAAGGAAGATGACTATAAACCAGAAATGACTCAATCAAAAACTTCCCACAGGCAAGAGGCAAACAGCTGTTACTTGCAAGCGTGACCGGAAGTAGCCACCCTCTCATCGCTCCCCGCTGCTAAGAACGTTCTGCAAGAGATCGTCAGCTGGATCGTGCTCATAAAGAAACATCTCCAGAGGCTGCTGAAACCAAGACGCACTGACGTCACAGCAGCGCTAACCTTTTTCCCAATTAGCCCTACCTGATTGGGACTGCCGTACCTCACCTCCCCTCTGCTGTGCATAAGACTTGACACTTTGTCAGTGAGATTACAAGACACAGGTAAGAAAAGGAAAGGGTTAGGAAGTTTTTTGGGAAAACAAACTTACGACCTTACGTAATAAGTACGCTCACAAAATGAAGTAAACGTTTTCTGTGCGTTAGCTTTGGAACAGAAGTTCTTTTGCTCGCGCGCGGTAAATGCCTATTATGACGCCATTTCAAAGAACAGAGTTGGATCTTTCAGTATGCAGATCATTCGTTGAATGCTACGTATAGATCAGCAATGAAGGCCGGTCCAGTTATAGGGCCCTTCGTTTTTTCCTTTTATATGTTACAAAGCGTTTTTCAGTATTTTAAAGGAAAATGTAGTGGAAAAAGGTAAGAAAGTATCTTCTCGCTTTTCTTTTGAAGACAAAGAATCCTTTTTTCGCGATTAGAGTTAAAAGCAGTTTCAAGGCCAACTGAGACGAGGCGCCTGTTGATCAGTTTCAATAAAAGGATAATGTAACGAGGACAAGCTACTAAAACGATTAAACAGAAGAAGGAGAACTATTCCTGAAGCAGTATTTAGAAACTTGTATTTTGGGTCAAAAAGATCGTGCAACTTTCGGTAATTTTTTACTTTTTGGTATTTACTGTAAGTTGTCAGTTTTCGAAAACAAAAAAAAATCGTCCATGGTAACCGTTTGTAATAATCTTGGTGCTGACCTAAAGGAACGCAGTGTTTGTGAGAGCCTGCCTTCACTTTGGTCAGCAGCTGAGTCGCAGACTCGTTCCCAGTCGTCGGAAGATCGCGCTCCGTTCCAAGGCTCCTCGTTTTATTTGGATAGCGCGAACTGACTTGGTGACGAGGCTAGCTGGGGCGTGAAACAGGAGTGCGCGCGCGTGCTGCCTCACGCAAGCAAATAACTGATAACCGAATTAAATTTTCCAGTGTTTTTACTTTGTCAGTGAGATTACAAGACATTTCTAGTGCATCAAGTTTTGTATTCGAAACTTAAAGCTATTTTAGATGAAATATGATCTGTAGCTGATTGTGTTGTGTCTATTTTTATTATCAGAGAAGTTGCAACCGGTGAAATTAAAATTCCAGAATTAACGGAAAAAGCGCCAGTGAAAATAGAACAGGAAAGTCAAAAAGTAAGCTTTTGTTTACTGCATGTTAGGAACAACCCACTTTAAGTTATTCTTGCAAACAAGTTTTTGTGCCATTCATTAACTCCCTCCTATTGGATTATTGACTGTGTGTGGGCTTGTCTGCAATAAGGCTTAGAAACACTGATTTTTTTCTTTAATTTTTTGAGGTTTTTGGAACTTGACGGTCCATGTAAACAAATAAAACGCCAGAAAGTAAATAAAATAATTATTAAAGCAGTCGATATCAGTTATAAATCTATTCTCTCCCATTTTGAAGTTTCATTTACAAAACTACCGTCACTTTCAAGTTATATATAGCAAAACGCCAAGTCCTCTTCAACACTCATTTCATAGTCTGATTTATAACTTATTTCATTCATCTTGATTGACTAGTGCCCCGTTAAACGTAGAAGATCAGAAGAGCAGTTAGACAAGATTAAGACAAAGAAACAAAGAAAGTCGATCTCACTGTATAAACTTAAAGCCATCAAGATGATTGGTGAGGGAGCGTTTGGGAAGGTGAGAGACTGTCATAAGAATCAAACAATAATCACAAACAATTCGTAATATTAATTTTCACAAAATTTAGAGCAATTTTCGGCGGATCACCGCGCTACAGTGGCGAGTATCTCGTGGTCAAAACCTAGCGATTTATCAATTATTTGATTAATTACTTAAATAAGTCATTATCTATTTATTAATTTCAAAACTCTTTTAAAGAAGTTGAAAGGCTTTGTTTACTTTCGTTTTTGCTAAGTGTACGCTCTTTTAATTAACAAATAAGCGATTAAAGGTGAATACGATATACACACTGTGTAGAATTCCTTCTTTCTCCAACAAGTGGATGATATCTGGGGCTATTTTTTCGGGTCGGGAAGTAATATGACGTTCTTTGGAAACCCACCGGGTTTGAAAATATATCTGTCAATCTTTTTATAGGTTCGTCTTTGTGAGGACCGTCGCACCAAGAGGCCATACGCGGTAAAGCAGATAATTGAACCTGACCCAAGCAGTGTGGAAGAGAAAGTATTGAGCCTAGCCTCGTCCAGTCCTTTCATAACAAGACTTTGTGAAGAAGTTGAGAACCCGGTATGATACTTTTAAAAATTGCACAAACATTTTTCCTCCTTTTACCCCCGCTATAAACGCCGAAACCCGCCCGCCCGCCCGCAGATGTGGAAAAAATGGCCGGCCAATTACATTTACAGCATTCCGACATCTTGACGAACTTGCAGGAAAACAGGGGACTACAAACCCTCCGAAAGATTATGAATTATACCTGTGCTATAAGACTTGATTGAGACGTTTGTGGCCGAGCGTTTAACACCTCAAACTCTGGATCTGAAGGTCCGAGGTTCAAGCCTCGCCAGTCGCGTTGTTTCCCAAGACAAGAAACTTAACCCCATTTTGTTTCTTTTCACCCAGGTGTATAAGTGGGTACCGGCGACATACTGCTGGGGGGTAACCCTGCGATGGACTAGCATCCCATCTAGGGGGGAGTGGCAATACTCCTAGGCTTGCTTCATGCTACGGAAACCGGTATAAGCTCCGACCGTGTGGGTCTTTGGCTCGTGTGCACCTTTACTTTTTACCTTTATCGGCTCCACTGGACGTTTCTCTCTGTGCCTCATTATCTTTCTCAATTTTGTTCACTATAAGCCAAAAAGAAAATAGTATGTTATGGGTCAACTAATAGCTTCTTTGCATTTTCATATTATAGTACCCTGGCCATTTCATTATACTAGAGTTCGTTGAAGGAGGAGACCTTTTCACTGAATTGGATGAGAATGGATGGCTCAGCGAAAATCGGACGAGGTAATCATAATTCCATATAAAAGTTTTCGAGCAACTGTTAAGAAAACAGTCTATAACAAACGTCACAATAAAAGAAAACACAACAGAATGTAACACATTTGGTCAAGTTTTGCTTTAAACCGAATACCCAATAACGCTTCAGTAAGACACGTTCCATTAGTACTGGGTCGAAATCATCGTAAATTATTCTTGACTGACTCATCGTTTAATAACGACTGGTTCTATCAATTGAGTTCTACCCAATACATGTAACCTTAAAATTAAACTGAGGATGCAAAAACCAGTAAACAAAAAAATTCTGTCAAAAAAAGTGATAGAAACTTCACGCCTTCACCTCACATACGCGGATGTATACAAAAAATGTACCACCTATGGACCAATCCGATGGACCGCTTCGTGAACCCGGTCCATGGACTACCCCTGTGGACCACGCCTAATTTTCGTAGATGAATTTAACCAGAGGTCTAAACACATTTTTGGAACCTTAAATGGACGAAAATGTGGTCAGTTTTTATTATCAGTGGTATGGGCTCCACATATTTTACACTCGCCTACTTTTTTTTCAATTCCATACCAATTGGTTCCCTGCTAGCAGAGGTCTCTCACGGCGAGGCAAAAATGAGAGAAAGGAGAGACCTCTGCTAGCAGGGAAACCAATTGGATGGGTTCGTTTTAGTCTGGTGAAGGAGTCAACATATTTTAGAGGGGCAGAAGTAGGGAGGAAGTAGTATCCTATGCAGTTTGTTTTGCGTTCCCGTTGTGTGAAAATCGAAACAAAAACGGCTGTGTATGAGACTAAGGACGAAATATTGTTTCTCCTCCCAGGCTAAACCAAACTCATGAATGGAATTCAGGAAAAATTTGAGCAAGTGTATAATATGAGGACCCTTTAATCCTGATAATACAGTTAAAATTGACACAGTTTCATCCATTTAAGGTTCCTAAATTTCGTTTAGACCTCTAGATTTTAAAGATTAATCTTCAAAAATTAAGGGTGACCTACCTAGATGGTCCATGGAGCTCATTTAATCTTGCTCAGTAGTGAGACGTAGTATACATACATGTTTTACCTAAAACATCCTATTACTCGTCGTTTATTTTAGGTTTTACACAGCTGAAATCATCACCGGCTTGCAATTTCTACACCAAAAAGGTGTAATACACAGGTGAGTAGAAATTTGAAAACTAGCTGAAATCCACACTTGATGGGTGATTTCGATCGCTTGGCAAACTCAAGATAAAAAAAGCAATGAATTGAGACCGTCGGACCTTCTCAGCCGTAAATCACCTGACTGTACAAAGTAGGTAATCGTTTGCTAGATCATTGTCTACCATGACAGGGCCTGTCTCCTCCGAAGAGGNAGGGCACATTTTGTAATTTTTCTTTAGCGCCGAAGAGAAAAATTTATAAAACGTCTATGAAACATTTAAAAATACATAAATTCCCTTTCAATAGCGTAATTTCCTTGGCCATAGAGTGCAAAATGTACCTGAAAATTCAGCAAAATCTTCGCTGACTTGGTTGCATTTCAAAACAGACCATGGGCTCCTCCGTGAAGAAAACAAGGTTGAATAGAGTACTAAAGTGTGACGTCATAAAAATGAAATTTCTGAAATTATGGGATTTGCCCTGATATTCTGAAAGAACAATGTCCACAAGGCCTACTTGCCAAAAATGAGCATTTGGGGGCAAATTGTCTCTGAGATCGTAGCCCAGTTATGCTTACAAAACTCCATACAAACCCTTCTAAAAATTTTTTGGGTCGACCCAAAAAAAAATTAGAAGGGTTTGTATGGAGTTTTCTGAGTGTAACTGGGCTACGATCTCAGAGACAATTTGCCGCAAAATGCTCATTTTTGGCAAGTAGGCCTCTTGGACATTGTTCTTTCAGAATATCCTGACAAATCCCATAATTTCAGAAATTTCATTTTTATGACGTCATCACTTTAGTACTCTATTCTTCGAAGGACGATTCCTTGATGAAAAGCTTCCCTTTCTCCACGAAAAGGAAGCTGAGCATTCTTTTGAACTTTCTCTTTCCATTTTTTGTCTTTTAACGGTGTATTTTTAACCTTGAAATGCAAAACTCTTGTCTTAAAACATCTGCATGGTGATCGCTCAGCAGCCATTTTGCTGAAAATGGATATCCATCACTAAGGTTTCCAAATATGGTCAAAATGAATATTCACAAGCATTGAACGCGAGTTACACGTTTCAACCCCTTATGGGTTTCTGGTTCTACTCAATACATGTAACCTTAACATTGAACTGAGGATGCAAAAACCAGTAAACAAAATAATTCTGTCAAAATAAGCGATAGAAACTTCACCTCACATAGGTGGACGTATACAAAAAATGTACCACCTATGGACCAAGCCGATGGACCGCTTCGTGAACCCGGTCCGTGGACTACCCCTGTGGATGACCACGCCTAATTTTCGAACATGAATTTGACCAGAGGTCTAAGCAAATTTTTCGGAACCTTAAATGGACGAAAATGTGGTCAGGTTTTATTATCAGTGGTATGGGATCCTCATATTTTACACTTGTTTATTTTTTTTCAATTCCATACTATTTGAATATAATAGGTTCGTTTTAGTCTGGTGAAGGATTCAACCTATTTTAGAGGAACAGAAGTAGGGAGGAAGTAGTATCCTACGCAGTTTTTTTGTGTTCCCGCTGCTTGAAAATCGGCTGTGTTTGAGACTAAGAAAAAAATCGTAAGACGCAGTGTATTACTTAAAACATCCTATTGCTCGTCTATTTGTTTTAGGTTTTACACTGCTGAGATCATCGCTGGATTACAATTTTTACACCAAAAAGGTGTCATTCACAGGTGAGTAGAAAAATGAGAAGTAGCTGAAATTCACATTTGGTTGGTGATTTCGATCACTGACGTATTAATATGGCAAAGATAAAAAAAAACAATGAATTGATACCGTCGGACCTTTATTTTGCGGCCTCCTCAACGGCCAACAGTCACGTACATATATCGGGGCGGGCAAAAATTGTCAGCTGTAAATCACCTAACTGTACAAAGGAGGTAATCGTTTGCTAGATCATTGTCTGTCACGACAGGGCCTCTCTCCTCCGCAGAGGCCTCTTTGCATCGGGGGACGATGGGAAGGGGAAAGAGAGAAGCGAGGGCCTAAGCTAGGCCTCGCTCCCGCTTTTTCTCTCTTCCCATCGTCCCCCGAGCGCTTTCTATTTTTCCATTATTGCTATTTTTACTGGGATACCCAGCGGGAGCCTTCGCAGAGCTAGGAGAGAGTGACAGGGCTCAGCGTTCTGTACAGTCCTTGCATGGGTGAAGAAAGTTAACTTTATAATTATGCGGCTATTTATCCCTTTCCCTGGAAGATTATGTCGCACCACTTTTGGCTAGGTTTACTTAAAAATCAATGCCTTTAATATTTGTGTAAATTTTTATTTATCGTATGACAGGGACTTGAAACCTGAAAACATTTTGCTGACCAAAAAAGGAGACATCAAAATCAGTGATTTTGGGTTGTCCGCTATCATCGATCCAGTTAAACAGGAAAAGATTAACAACGCAGAAANTTATGTCGCACCACTTTTGGCTAGGTTTACTTAAAAATCAATGCCTTTAATATTTGTGTAAATTTTTATTTATCGTATGACAGGGACTTGAAACCTGAAAACATTTTGCTGACCAAAAAAGGAGACATCAAAATCAGTGATTTTGGGTTGTCCGCTATCATCGATCCAGTTAAACAGGAAAAGATTAACAACGCAGAAATTATCGGGACACCTCGTTACATGGCTCCTGAGGTAAACCATGGAACTGTAGCGTTAGTTAAGGGGGACGAGTATGGTTAAAAGCATTATTTTTGGTTGATTTCCACCCCTTTTCTTAAATATCTAGCAAGCCAAGATTTTATTCAATCAAAAAAATGACTCAGTTATGTTACAGTCCTTCGAATGTTTTTAATGTATAAAATTTAGGGGGGAAGATGTTTAAAATTTTGGGAAAATGCATGGAAAATATTGGATTTGGGGGGTTGTTAAAAATTAAAATATGAAGTGAATAATTAGTAGACAAATACCAGATAGTCCACCACCACAACAAGGTGCCTCTGATCCCATTAGAGGACTAACTGGTTCACCTATTCTACCCAGTAATCAGCATCATTTCCCAAAAAACAAACCGTAATCCCCCCTTAGGCGCTGTGAACCAAGTGTCTAAATCAGTTTCTCGTGTAGCTGCGTGGTCAATAGTATTTTATCCCAGATCTAGGACCTATTTCAGAACCTCCATCCAAAATATCCCTGGGAAAATTTAAGAGGGTTCTAACAAGGACAACCGAATTATATTCTGTTAGGGTAGTTTCTGCTTTTTACTTACTGAATCAGCGCTGATAATTAACGCTAAAACAAATCTTTATACAGGCTATGAAATATGAGTTTTTCTTGTAAGAGATATATATCTGTTACAGGATATATTCTAATGTTACCTACAGTGGAAGAAAGAAAAGCTGCATGTTCAGTTTCCCACAAAGCTAACAATACATGGCATGATTCATTCATTAAAAAATCACAAACCTCATAGTTAGATCTTTTTTTAGGAGAAGCTCGGCTTGTTTTCATGGAATAACATCTTATCGTGCTGATGTTAGCTTAGTGCAAGGTGTTATATTATTTGTTGCAGATTATTTTACAGGACCCATACGACGCATGTGTGGATTGGTGGGCTCTTGGAGTCATGGTGTTTACGATGCTCACTGGAATGGTTTGTATATTTCAAATGTTATTTCAGTTATTTTCAGGTTCTTAACACGAAAAAGGTGAAACTGAACTTAGACTATGATGATGGTAACCTACTTAGTTGACAATGTTATGCTTTGTGTTTACTTTTCAGATGCCGTTTGATGCTGAATCGGAGGATGAGTTATTTGATTTGATCGTATATCACTACCCACAGAAACCGGACAAAGTAACAATGTCTGAGCTGTCCACTGACGCCACTGAATTATTCCTACACGTAAGTGTCAAACACATAAATCATACATGAAATGTTATATTCCCTTCATTTTTTACATGTACCAAAATTATTTATGCCAGTCGATAACAATAGAGGCAAGACTTGGTGAAAAAAATCCAAAGATTGACTCCCTACCCCCGGGGTAATCCCCATAACGGATTATACGGGGTGGCTCCGCCAGAAAGGGTTACCGTTTTTAGGATTTAGGTATATTGAAGGGTAGAGAAATCTTTTTTATGTTCGAATGAGTGAAGAACAAATATGACTAGACTAAAACTAGGTCAACGTTGACTTCTGTCACGAAGTAGCATAAAAACATAGCATTTCAATAAACAAAGATCTCTGAGTTGAGAGTAAATACCGATATTACAAGACATATCACATTTTTCGGATGTTTTCAGTTACTAGAAAAATATCCGCAAGACCGTCTCGGGTATAAAGGAGGCGATTACCCCTGCATCAGAGATCATACTTTCTTTCACGGCTTTGACTGGAACAGACTGGAGGCATTGGAACTCGACCGCCCACCTTAGAAATAAGGTTTGTTTCCTTAAAATCCTTAAACAGAATGTTTAAAAAATCTCGGGTTTTATCCCTCGGGTTTTACCCGTGCTTTTTCCTTCCGATCCCCGACAATGAAGGGTGTCACTAGGTCTTAAGCTCTCGATTTCACAATTCCTCCTACATACATTAGAAACACTTTTTAGGCTATCCAGGGTACTTTTGGATCTCTAGAGATGCATTCAAAGCGGGTCTATCAAATTTGCATCTCTTTGGTCATCCTAGGGGAAATTGAATCTTTTTCGAAATTACAAGGCCTTCGGATTTAGTAACCCAAAAATCTTAGATAAAAGTTGACGTATTACGAAAGTGATAATTTTTCTGATTCCTTCCTTCATTACAGTTTACGTTTTGAATCCGAAAATTTTAGGTTTCCTTTTTCTACGAAAAATAGCCTAACCTGGCCGGCAGTGAAATGTGAAACATTAAACTTAGAACTTAGGGAATTTATTAGTTGAGCTTCGGAAATTGTACTTGATTAGAACGGTCATCTAGAAATGTTTATCCGTCTTTAAGTAAGAGAAAATTCTAGGAAATATTTGCTTCTCCGAACAGATAATTTACAGAAAACACTGAGTCGTTTGATATTCCCATAAGACTTTAAAGTCTTCTCAGTGTCGTTTATTTGTTGTGCAGAAAAACCCGTATATAGCAGGCACCATCATTTAGTTCGGACAGGACACGAGAGTAGATCGGGGAGAACCCAAAATTTTTATGTCGTGCCTCATATTTCCTACTATACTGTTGTAATGCCAGGGGTTATTAAAACTAACCCGAGCTGTTTTTCTTAAAGGTCTGGAATTATGATCAGTACTGGAAACAAGACATTTTTACATGATGATCAGTGTTGTGTGTTGTTCGGCAAGAGAACGACGTTTGTAAAATAAAGGCTTTTCACTTTGTGTCCGATAGTCTTTTGTTTCTTTTTTAAGCTCACTTCCCAAGCGTTGTTCGCTAAATGATTCCCAACCTTAGTTATGTTTTAAAGCTTTATAAAAATCCAGTTGATGCAAAAAGTACTTTGATAAGAAGCACTTCTATAGCTTCTTTGGAAATGTTTTTTTCCTTTCCGATTATTAGACCCCCCTCGGGTATAAGCCCCTCTGTTTATAATCTTTTATGATTTCTCCCAAAAGACCCAGCTAACACCCTAAAAGCGACAGTTTCGGTGTGTTCTTCGATTTTACTAGCGAACAGCGTTTGGTCACTTGACGAATCTAAACTGTGTCAGCTAACGAAACCGCAATTTGAATATGACGAAATTGTGCCTCCAATCTTGAAATCCGGCAGCTTGCTGACAAAAGCTTATGAACTTTTCTTAATCTTACCGGCAAGATCCTGAATTTTCAAAATCCTTCCTGCAAGACCTCAAATATGAAATATCTTACCGCCTTGAAATCGTGCCGGAAAGATCTTGAAATTTTCCAAAAATTGCTGAACAGAGCTAAAACCCAGACGATCGATTCTGGACGCCATGGATCTCTTGTAACATTCAACTATAAGGATAATTAAGTTTTGCGATCAGATTAAGTGGCACCTCAGCATAAGGCATTGCTTTTCGTAAGACATCTCCCTTTACTTTGTACGGTTGCCCTGACTGTTTTTTCAACGTTTTTCCTTACAACAGTGTGTTTTTAACGCTTTCCACACATCATTTGTTCGTATGGTATTAGTATTCTTTTCTTTTTAACGTTTTTCCGCCCCGAATTTGTTCGTATAGGGTTTGGTGTTGTCTTTTATTAGAAGAAAAACATATCGTGGAAGGAAAATGTTTGCAAGCAGTAAGCTATATATGGTGGTTTAGAAAAGGTGATCACTACCATACGTAAAACAAGAACAGAAGGTTTTACAATCATGGACAAAATTCTTGGCACAGTTGTACAGTTCTAACCCTTTTGAATTTAAACACACACCAAAAAAAAAAAAAAAAAAAAAAAAAAAACAAACAAACAAAAAAAAACAACACAAACCCACAAACCCCACACCCACAACAAAAAAAACAACAACAAATACAAAAAGACAAATGGCCACAAAGAAATAAAAAAAAAAAAAAAAAAAAAAAACATTAGCGTGCGACTAACATTGCACCTCCTCAGTTCCTCTCCCACACCACGGACAGTATTGAAACCATAACCATTACTGACCCACAATTTCTTTGATCGTCCAACATTGAATTGGATCAGCACCGCTTTTCCGAACGTTACGCGTGAATCACATAGAACTGCTGAAATGCTTTTACTGTCTCAAGGACATTTGTCCAGGATCATAGATTACTGAACTTTCCAGCGCAAAAGGGGATAACATGGGTGCATAAACATGGGAGGGCTGCAAGGGGAAGCCCGACAACTACATAAATAAAAGCAATTCTGCAGGTTAGAGGATATAGGAAGTTATATGATTGAGAGACCTGGTCTTTTGTTTTTGTTTTGCTGATATAAGCCTAATGCTTTTTTGCCGTTCTCGTTGTCGTCG